GGTTGTTTGAAAGTTCTTTGATCGTGCAAATACAGAAACAAATCACTCATGGAGGTTGAACTATTGGTTTAGGTTAATGAGTTCCAGGCCAGATATTGGTGTGATAGTGTTTGAGATTTCTGTGCCATTATCAATTTGTCCATTATCGACATCATTACCACATGCCCGTGTCTGTTCGCATTTGATACCAGTGTTTGAACATGCTTTAGTTCAAGTTATGTGATGTGAGAAGATGGCATGCATGTCTTATAGGTCAACACGACAAATTTTGAATGATCGTGACTTTTATGCTTCGTATTCAGGGGCGGATACAGCTTTTTTGAGAAAATGGGAGGCACCCCTGCAACACCCTCTGGATCCGCCTATGGTATTTAACCCATTGATGTTCTTCATTATGCAGGAAATGGGGTGGGGGCCGTGGTTTGGGGCTGAGGATTGGGGCGGACTGGGATTTGTATTGAGAGACTAGATATTTGCAAAACTAGCTACATTAAAAATGACAGCTATAATTTATGCCCAAAGATACACAAAAAAAAACAACAAAACAACCGCAAAAAATACAAAAAAACCCCCACAAAACAAACAAACAAAAAACATTTTTAAAAAACGAAAAACGAAAAACAAAACGAGCCCGAAAACTACCAAAACAATATAAAATATAAATAAAAAGAACAAAAAAACCTTTCCATAATACAAAAAAAGAGAAACAAATATTAATTCAAACACACAAGAATAAGGCCCAGTCGCCTTTCTCAGGTTCTATGTTTTGTTGACAGTTTCTTGTTCTCATTAATCAAAAGCATGCTTATTTAAAATCAATTTGAGGTGCAATGTCTTCTTTTCGAAATGGGGGCGTGGGGTTGTCTAGTGGTTAAAGCGTTCGCTCGTAACGCCGAAGACACGAGTTTGATTTCCCACATGGGTACACTGTGTGAAGCCCATTTCTGGTGTCCCCACCGTGATATTGCTGGAATGTTGCTAAAAGCGGCGTAAAACCAAATTCAGTCACTCACTGTTTTCGAAATACAATTCCCCCCCCCCCCTCCCCCCAGGATGTCAAATGGTCTGTCTCTTACCATTATACTGAAATGAAAATGAAACTATACTCGCGTGAACAGGTGCTGATGCTGCACGTGCACAGGTGTCCACGCCAGTAAGCGTTCTGTTCAGCATGTGAGCACGTGGTATCGTTTTACCAGTTGATCTACCAGCAGGGGGGCTGTTAGAGGCATCAGTGTAGTGCACGTTGGTGGGAGGGTATCAAGCAATGCTGTTCAGCTGTCGCCGAGGTTGTAACTTTTTTTGTTGAATTATCGTTCGAGGGCGTGTCCCTCGGAGCGTATGCGTGAATTTCGAGATAAACCAGCTGTGTGTTGAAATTTGATGTAATCCCACTGGAGATTAGATACCTCTTGTTGCTACCTTTGAAACCTCTCTCTCAAAGACGCTTGGTTCCCAAACAAAATATGTCGTAGAATCTACTAATCTACAGATGGACGACATCCCATTTTAAAGCACTGTTGGTTTGTCTCCAGTCTACCACGAGGGCAGGTAAGCCTCTCTACCACGAGGGTCGGAAAGCCTCTCTACCACGAGGGGTGGAAAGCCACTCTACCACGAGGGCAGGAAAGCCTCTCTACCAAGAGGGCAGGAAAGCCTCTACCACGAGGGGCGAGGGCAGCAAAGGAGGGCAGAAAGCCTCTCTACCACGAGGGCAGGAAAGCCACTCTCCACGAGGGCAGGAAAGCCACTCTACCACGAGGGCAGGCTGGAAAGCCAAGCATTCAAAGACGGTGGGCAGGATACAGATAGATTTTACCAAAATGTACTAAAGTTCACGAGTGAAAAGGTCATTCTGACTAATGCCATTTGAAAAAACATTTCTTCAGGAAAAAAGACATTCAAAGAAGGGATACAGATATTTTTTACAAAAAGTACTAAAAGTTCAGAAATGTCAAATACATTTCTTAAAAAGACCAAGGATATGTCAAAATACCCTCCAAAGATATATGTTTAAATTCATATATTGCATAGCTGCGCTGTTTGGATTTAGACAAATCACACCTTAGAAATCAACATGACATCTGCCATTGTAGGGGTGACAGGTTTTAGGGTAAGCGACATGCATACGAAACGAATGTATTTTTCCAACAGAAATACCCGGATCTGAGGTATTTTGCGTGAGTGAGTGAGTTTAGTTTTACGCCGCACTCAGCAATATTCCAGTCATATGGCGGCGGTCAGTAAAAAATGGAGTCTCTACCAGACAATCCAGTGATCAACAGCATGAGCAACTGTGAACCGATGACATGTGTCAACCAAGTCAGCGAGCCTGACAACCCGATCCTGGAGGTATTTTGAAGTTGCACTTGTTAAGAAGTTGGTTTCGAAATAATTCCCCAACAGGAATATATATACATATATATATGTGTGTCTCCTCGAACTTCTGGCTTGCTTCTGGTACTCGTGGCTGGTCTTTGCTGCCAAATGCTGTTCATAGTTACGTCACTATCTAAATATTGCATGAACATAGAGTGCAATCTGTACGTATCGTCAACATAAACTTGCTAATGTACTGGTAGAAATGAGCCCGTGAAGTCGGCACCAACATGCGTGACAACACCCGTGAAGATCCGGGTTGGAATTGGTCTTCAGCAACCCATGCTTGTCTCCACCCGTGAAGATCCGGGTTACATTTGGTCTTCAGCAACCCATGCTTGTCTCCATCCGTGAAGATCTGGGTTACTCTTTATTTTCACATGGCTTTGGATTTGTGTGGCTAAATCAAACAGTTGGTAATATCAAATCTATTTCTTAAGCAATTTCGAGAACAATCTGTTAACATGTATTATCAAGAATGGCATTCCTGTCTAGGACAATAGTTCAAGATACCAGTTGTACAGATCACATAAGAGCTTAATTCAACCAGAACTATATCTATCTGTATTGACATACATCTAGAAATATCAGACGCACACTTGTCAATTTCGAATGGGCTTGTTAGGACTTATCAGTAAATAAGGGCAGACTATTTTCAATAGAGAGACGTTTAAGGATATGTCCATTATGTAACTCGGCTATAGAAGATAAAATTCACTTCGCTTTTGTATGCCCACATTATGCTGATTTAAGAAAAAAAAATATATCCCAAATAATTACCTGTTAAAATATCCTAAAATCTGCTTTTGCTTCCATTCTATCTTCCAAAATGAAAATGTAATATGTAATCTTTGCGCTTTATGTAAAACATGCTGTTTCTCCTTAGAAGCAATATCTTATCTGAACTGTAATTTCTTTGTAAAATGTCTGTAACATGATGCTGTATATGTACTTGTATTACTTGTATATGGGCCGGAGGCCTTAAGTACAATAAATATCTTTGACTTGACTTTGACATTTGGTCTTTCAGCAACCCATGCTTGTCTCCCCACCCGTGAAGATCCGGGTTACATTTGGTCTTCAGCAACCCATGCTTGTCTCCACCCGTGAAGATCCGTGTTACATTTGGTCTTCAGCAATCCATGCTTGTCTCCACCCGTGAAGATCCGGGTTACAATTGGTCTTCAGCATCCCATGCTTGTCTCCACCCGTGAAAATCCGGGTTACATTTGGTCTTTCAGCAACCCATGCTTGTCTCCACCCGTGAAGATCCGGGTTACATTTGGTCTTCAGCAATCCATGCTTGTCTCCACCCGTGAAAATCCGGGTTACATTTGGTCTTCAGCAACCCATGCTTGTCTCCACCCGTGAAGATCCGGGTTACGCATTTGGTCTTCAGCAACCCATGCTTGTCTCCACCCGTGAAGATCCGGGTTACATTTGGTCTTCAGCAACCCATGCTTGTCTCCACCCGTGAAAATCCGGGTTACATTTGGTCTTTAGCAACCCATGCTTGTCTCCACCCGTGAAGATCCGGGTTAGAATTGGTCTTCAGCAACCCATGCTGGTCGTAAGAGGCGACTAACAGGATCGGGAGGTCAGGCTCACTGACTTGGTTGACAGTGTGACACATGTCAGCATATCCCAATGGCGCAGATCGATGATCATGCTGTCAGTCACTGGATTGTCTGGTCCAGACATAACAGACAAAACACTGGCAAAGTAAACACCCTGAAGTATCCACTCATCCATTTTCTGCTGCAGACAAGGGAGAGATTGCGCGTTTTGGTGACCGATGACTAAAGGGCTTTCAGACACTGGTTTCAGTGTGTTTACTGATTGGTGTGTGTTCTAAAATTATTTAATTAAGTCATCGTTATATGCTTCAGCGCCCAGGCTGTCGATATTTTGATGATTTCAAAACTCCAAAACATTAGGTGTATCATAGGGATATGCGATACCTTTCTTAACCATACAAGACAAGTGTTCTTCAATTATTCAAGCAATATCTCAACATGAAACGCAAAGAATATACTCACATTATACCACGTTTTCATCGCGGCGAGCGAACGCTTATGTCCAGATCGATATCAACTAATTAGTTTACGTAGACCAGGACACTTGGAGGTGGGATCTGAACACAATGGAAGTATGACTTTGGAGGTAACATCCTAGAGACCATGTCCGTGGGTTATAGTTTATACTAGAGACACTGGAGGTAGAATCTACAGAGGTATAGACTATACCTCGTCTATGGAATCAGACAGACTCGGGGAGATGGACATGGAATCCATAAAAACCTGACATGTGAAAACATTTTACTGCCGCTTCAATTCCCCACTTGGTCCGGGGGGGTTGGTCGTTCGCATGTGCTCAAGATCATAGATTTCTGTCACGTAACGCCCCCTTCCATATTCAACCCAGTCTATAGTCTGTTGCAGTGAAAACGTACCTATGAATTCACTTTAAACAAAAAAGTAAATCAAATAAAGTGAAATTAAGATTGCGAATCCTCATACTTTTACCTTGCCAGTTGAACATTTAAATCTGAGAATTTTATTCAAATAAAAGTTGTAACAAACGATCATAGTTTCAAATCGCCATTATTGGTTTGTATTATAAGTGGGTACGCGCAGTAGTTGGAACAGTGAAACAAATGCACGTGCGGTGCGTGATGAGCGTTAACTTAGACTACCGTAGAAACCAACCCTTCTTGTTCTAGGGGTTTCATTTAATGAGCATACCCCCTGTGATACACTCATTCAGTCACTAGTAACTTTCACAGATGAAATAACGACTATTCCAAACTGGTTTCGATTTATCATTGCATGTCGTAGTCTCGCACACATGATACAGTTAGTGGATAATACCCGAGTAAGGTGCGTTTGTGTCCTCACAGCGAAACGTGTAATTCGCTCAAGGAGAGCACTCGTGTTGTCTTGTGTAGAAGTACCATTGTCTTTTTGAGTAACAGGTTGTCTAACATTTCAAGGGCCTTATATTCACGAAGGGGCACATTGCTGTGTTGCATGAACGCCTATGCTTCTCTGGTGTGTTTTCTCTGTCATTCTGTTCAGGGAATGATTAGCTAGATACTCTTATTTGATGAAACACGTGAAGATCCGGGTTAGAATTGGTCTTGAACAACCATGCTTGTCGAAAGAGGCGACTAACGGGATCAGGTGGTCAGACTCGCTGACTTGGTTGACACATGATCATATCCCAACTGATCGATGCTCATGGTGTCAATCACCGGAATGTCTGGTCCACACTAGAATATTTACAGACCGCCGTCATATTGCTGGAATATTTCTAAAATGGCGTTAATCCCACTTACTCACTCACTCTCACTCACTCATCTGGACTAATGCCTGTTTAATAGTGCTTGGTCTTTGGTACCGTGAGAATCGAACCACCGACCTTGGGTCTCCATACAGACGCTCCATCCACTATACAACGGAGTCTACTAAGTGGGGCTTTGGGGTAGTCTAGTGGTGAAGAAGACCCGGGTTCGATTCTCCGCATGGGTACAATGTGTGAAGCCCATTTCTGGTGTCCCCGCCCTGATGTTGCTGGAATATTGCTAAAAGCGGCGTAAGACTCACACACTCACTCACTTAATACAGACGTTCCTTCTCTCATGATTCTAATTTTATTCGTGTTCGAATTTTAGCATACTGTAATTTGAATCGGGCCCTAAACGAAGCTATTTCAGCGAAATGGCATATCAGAATGGATACATTATAACAGGATTATCAAGGATGGCTAAATTTGGAAATAATCCCTTTTATTCCAAACAAATAACTTTACAGCGGTCTCATTTTCTTTCAGTTATTATTTTATACCTGAAATAATGTTTAGCTGTTATCTTATAAACTGTCCTAGATTGTTTCAGGTTTATACCATTCTGTAATTCGTTTTATTGCCACTTAGGAATATCATTTCATTTGACGGACAAAGGGTTAAATCTTTATGATATATTTAGATAAGAGTTAAGAGCTGAAATAACAACATATCCTGCCCGTGATCACAGTACGCTGAAACTGTTTTACATGCACTTACTCCTTAATTCACCTAGCAGGTCGCCGTTCAATCAATAATAATGTATATCAGTGTTTGTCTTCTTTTTTAAGGAGGGGGCACACCTATCAGGAAAACAGTACTGAAGCTGAAATTAACACTAAGGTGAGATGAGAGTGGTATTAATGTTTTCCTTTGGGCGATATTATCTGCCTGTCGCGTCCTCTCTGTTTGAATATCTTACAATGAAACATCCTCGACTTCGACTGCTAGCGGGATTGGCGGACCAAGGAAATTGGAGTGTATAGGTTTTGTTGCTTCGAGGCGTTTACTTGGGAATGTTTTGAGATAAAATGTTTATAAATGAGCACCGTAACACGCGTCCGATTGGTACATGGTGTCTACCCCTCAGTAGTTGAAGGCTGGGACGTAGATATTTTGTATTACTTAGTTTAAGCAAATCAATGTATTCTAAAAGGCTATCGCCCTCGTACGGGATGACCCGGGTGCGTTTAGGCGACGTGTTTCTAATGTAACGTAAAAATATAAACACGTTTTCATTTGTTTGTGCTCTTGAATACTGTACACTTCAAGCAATATGCATGAAAACGTATCACGGACTTTGTTTGGTTTGTTTGTTGCTAAACGCCGCACTCAGCAATGTTCCAGCTACATGGCAGCGGTTTGTAAATAATCGATTCTGGACTAAACAATCCAGTGATCAACAGCACGAGCATCGATCTGCGTAACTGGGATACAATGAAATGTATCAACCAAGTCAGCGAGCCTGACCACCTAATCCCGTTAGTCGCCTGTTACGCCACATACAGCAAATATGCGTTGCTGAAGACCAATTTTAACCCAATTCAGAGTAACCATTAACGGAATAGGGTTCGAACCTGGATCCCGGATGATGAAGAGACACAACATTAGGCCAACTTGATACTACTGAGAACATATGGATTCCGCACGTGTGAATTACATGTTAAAGAAGCGGTGTTGAGTTACACGTGTGAATATCGGCGGTGCTGTTACACGTGTGGAGGTGCGGGGGTGTGATCCCTGTTGGCTTCAAACCCATTTCACTCACTTATCCGCGGTTTCTAAAGGTAATATACTCTGATTCTAGTATCAACCCAGTGTGCCTTTGTTTGAGTTGTCAGATTTTTTTTGCTTCATACGCTGCACGTATAAGTGCACCCATACTGGAGACCCGTACGTTAAGAATAACATTTCACATTTACCTACGCCCAACCTGTCTAGCTAGATACACAATTACACACGTTGTACAAAAAACACGTAGGAATAAATGTGCTTTTATGATTTCAAAATCCAGTTCGTGTGTGTCAATGCAAAAGAATGCTGATTATGATCCATTAAAATAAGATATAAATGTATAATTAAGTTTCATTCACATGTTCTTAAATAAAACAGTCACAGACATAAAAGTTTAAACCCTGGCAGGTCGATGACTATGTAGAGAATGTTGTTCATTGCAAGTCGGATGTCATTCAGAGCGTCCCTGCCGGTGGTGGATGCTGCCGTACAACCACGCTGTAGATGTCGTCGACAGAGATGACATGTTTAAGTGTCACCCTGTCATCCTGATCTGAGGAAACCAAGTTTTGATGAGCGACAGATACACGAACCTGGCAGTGGTGTGGGGGATCTTGACGTCTAGGTTGAATTGCTCTTGGATATAACCATCATATAATCGTGTCAAAAGATCATAACGTTAAAACGTGTTTGGGTGGGTGGATCTTATTAAACACTGCAATCAACAATATTACAGCTGTGTCATAGTCGAGTATGTCCCCCTGCGACATATGTAGGAGTTCGAATCCCAGATTCGTCCTGAGTATGTTTCGCGGTTTGTCTACACCAGACGGGTTTAACAAAGTTATAAGAATTGCTTCAGTTGGGGCTTTACTCTCTTGTATCATGTTGCTCTCATGTCTCACTTTACATACACACAATGATAAACCTGAAATAATGCTCAAAACGATATTAAACCCAATTCACTCACAGTTTTGGACCAGGGAAACCAGTGACAAATCACGAGCAATCGGGATTCGACAAAAACCCTGTGAGCTGAGTCACAGAACCAGATCATCCGCACATCTCTGATCATGCACACGGCAAGAAACCTGTCTGCATCTGCCCCTGTCTGAATGTCTGTATGTGTCTGTTCCTATTTGTCTGAATGTCTGTATGTGTCTGTTCCTATATGTCTGAATGTCTGTATGTGTCTGTTCCTATATGTCTGAATGTCTGTATGTGTCTGTTCCTATGTGTCTGAATGTCTGTATGTGTCTGTTCCTATATGTCTGAATGTCTGTATGTGTCTGTTCCTATTTGTCTGAATGTCTGTATGAATCTGTCTCTGTGTGTCTGAATGTCTGTATGTGTCTGTTCCTATGTGTCTGAATGTCTGTATGTGTCTGTTCCTATATGTCTGAATGTCTGTATGTGTCTGATCCTATATGTCTGAATGTCTGTATGTGAATGTCTGTATGTGTCTGTTCCTAGATGTCTGTCTGTCTGTGTCTGTTCCTATATGTCTGAATGTCTGTATGTGTCTGTTCTATGTGTCTGAATATGTCTGAATGTCTGTATGTGTCTGTTCCTATATGTCTGAATGTCTGTATGTGTCTGTTCCTATATGTCTGAATGTCTGTATGTGTCTGTTCCTATATGTGTCTGTTCCTATGTCTGAATGTCTGTATGTGTCTGTTCCTATATGTCTGAATGTCTGTATGTGTCTGTTCCTATATGTCTGAATGTCTGTATGTGTCTGTTCCTATGTGTCTGAATGTCTGTATGTGTCTGTTCCTATATGTCTGAATGTCTGTATGTGTCTGTTCCTATGTCTGAATGTCTGTATGTGTCTGTTCCTATGTGTCTGAATGTCTGTATGCGTCTGTTCCTATGTGTCAGAATGTCTGTATGTGTCTGTTCCTATGTTTGAATGTCTGTATGAATGTCTGTGTCTGTGTGTCTGAATGTCTGTTTGAGTCTGTATGTTCGTCTGCGTCTCTTCCTATGTGTCTGAATGTCTGTATGTGTCTGTTCCTTTGTGTCTGTATGTCTGTCTGAATGTCTGTAAGTGTCTGTTCCTATTTGTCTGAATGTCGGTATGTGTCTGTTCCTATTTGAATGTCTGTATGAATCTGTCTCTGTGTTTCCGAATGTCCGTCTGTATCTGTATGCTCGTATTTGACTTCATGTGTGCCCGTATGAATTTGTCCCTGTGTCTACATTCCTGCCTATATCAAACTGCCTCTGTGGTGTAGTGGTTAGAACGTCCGCCCGTCCGATCCCCGACCACGTCATACCAAAAGAAGTTAAATATGGTACTTGTTGGTCCCTGCCTGGAGCTCGGCATAAATGGGTACAACAAGGACTGGTCGGCTCCGAGTCAGTATAATGTGTCTGAGTGGGGTCTTCATGCTTAAACCCGTGAAGATCCGGGGTACAATAGGTCTTCAGCAACCCATGTGCTTGCCACAAAAAGCGACTAGGCTTATCGTAAGAAACGACTAACGGGATCGGGTGGTCAGACTCGCTGACTTGGTTGACACATGTCATTGGTTCCCAGTTGCGCAGATCGATGCTCATGCTGTTGATCACTGGATTGTCTGGTCCAGACTCGATTATTTACAGACCGCCGCCATATGGCTGGAATATTGCTGAGTGCGGCGTAAAACTAAACCTCAATCACTCACTCACTCTTAATTGCGGCATGGTATCTCGGTGAGCTAGCACTATAAAACCAGATTAAGTCTGGGCTAGTACACACAGCCACACACACGCATGCACGTCGTCATATGAGCGAAATATTCTTAAGTACGACGTTAACCCCACTTCACCTGCCTGTATCTATCTAATTCTCTCTTACTGTATTTATATGCAATATACATTTTTAGCTTTTGTGCCCGGCCAGATATACACAATACACAGCACATCTGCCGATGTAATCCAGATGACTATTCATATATCTACTGGTCCACATGTGTCTGTCAATCCGTCATCTCCTGATAACAGGTTGTCCGTTACTTCCGCCCCTGTCTCTCTGTCTTGTCTATTTACATATCCCTCGCTAATACCACCTGTCTCGTCCTTTATCCGCCCCCAATACCGTCTGTCCGTTCAAGTACTTTTCATAAAAGCCATATAACATGTTTTCATGCGACTAAAGTGAATCTGTCAGTCATGTTACATCCTGACAGTTTAACTAGAGTCACGTGACTCACAAGACTTACTTTTAAAAAATCTCCAAACAACAACAAAATATGTTTTTAAACAATCCCTTAAAAAATACAATCCCCAATACATGTTACATGAATGATACAAAGACATGCATGTTTTTTGCTGTTTAATTGTTAGTTTAACGCCACATT